ACACAGTCAGACAATGTTCCCAAAATGCAAACGTGCTGACGCAAAACGAGGCGCTTCTCACATATAAAGGTGCCCGACTGACTCGGTTGTGTTCCCAACTCAGGAAACAGCCCCTGACCCCATTGAGGAGCAGCAGCAGACCTTTGAATCGCTCGGCGAAAATTTAAATGTGGCTGGCGATCCACGAGTCTGGAATCAGGCTAGTGAGATGTGCGTGGAATTACAACCACACTTCACTAAGGAAGAGTTCTTACAACGGAGAAGAGAGTAGAATGGGCCCTCAGCCAGCACAGCGTCCCATTGGTTTCCCAACAGGCATTCATTGTGCAGTGCTCCATTCGCCTGTTATATCCCTACTTCTGAGCCAATGGGGCTCGTATGTAGAGAGCGGAGTCAGATACATAACACCTCAAATGGAGAAAACCAGATGATAGATTCACAAGTACGGGCGCGCACGCGAGATACATGCTCGTCTTTTGTGGCTCACGAGTGTGCCAGTTTTTTTCTTTTTCCCCGCTACTGCCCATATGCTCATGAATGTGAGCTGAGGAGCTAAAATAAAGGATGGAAGGAAGCACAAAAGCAAAGCAAAAATAGATGGTGGAATACAATGACACAGAGAGCGGACACAATAACCACAGGGAAAGAGGGAGAGCTGGGGGAGAGCGAGAGGAGAAAATAAGACAAAAGGACGAGGTAAAATATGTCTTTATCCCCGACGGACAAAGCTTGTCTGTCTTCCAGGACGAGGAGGAGATTCGTTTAGATCCTCACCGAAAAGCAGAGGAAACAAAGTGGAGAGGAGAAATAAGGGTACTACGGCCCACGTGCGGTCCAGATTACCTGAAACCTGACACTGCACATTGTGAATGTATTAGCACGCAACTTCACATAAAAATATGAGATCACTTGGCTGCGCATAAAGACAAATGCACCTGAAGCCATGTTTTACAGAGCGTTTCATCATCAGCCAAGACATTTTCTGTGTATCATTACACTTTAAACATGCTGCATTGCACAACTCCACATAATATTACAATGAGCTTGATACAGTCGAGCTTTTAAGGAGGCTGCGTTCCCAGAAGTCTTGATGGGTAGCACGTTGTACTCTCTGCTGTACACAGAGGTTACGTGAATACACAGAAACGGCACAGTGGCTGCTTGAATGCACGTAATAGCCAATGAAGAACACGCTTTATTATTTTAACCCATAGCAACATTGTCAATGCGTGGAACTAAGCAATGCAGAATAACATAGCAACAGGACGCTATTCAACACGGTGCAGCCTTGACTTGACAGAATACGCCATGACAGCGACGGACGTCCACATTAAGCACTTAGAAGCCATTTGCTCGTAAGTTTATAGTTGCTTGAGCTGACACGATCCGGTGTGTATTGAAATCGCACATGACAACTGAATGGTAGGTTACAATACATTGTAATGTGCACTTATTCTCCACAACAATAAAACCGCTCACAGGTGAGAGAGCGTCACGCAATGTTCTGCCGCGTAACCTTGAGTCCCGGTGTTCATGTGGATGTCACTATGACACATGCCACCCACCTGAACATTGTTGCAGATCTAGAGCATATCTCAGAGCAACAGCACCACATGATAAAGGGGGGGGGGGGACTGCTCAAGAATGGCTCGAGGAACATGACCAAGAGCTCCAGGTGTTGATCTGGTCTCCAAACTCCCCAGATTTCAATCCAATCAAGCATCTAGATCAGGGGTGGGCAATCCTGGTCCTCGAGGGCCACAGTCCTGCATGAGTCCGTGCATCAGGATCGTTATCAGGCTTCTGCAGAGCTTGATGATGAGCTGATCATTTGAATCAGGTGTGTTGGAAGAGGGAAACATCTAAAACATGCAGGACTGTGGCCCTCGAGGACCAGGATTGGACACCCCTGATCTAGAGGGTCTATTTGATCAAGCCTGATTCAGCCTCATTCCACAACCCAAATGCCCTAAAAGGTCGTTTGCCGACGCCCTTGTGACAAACAAAACGGTTTATTTCTAAAGGTGTTGTACCCACGCTGCACAGTGTCACAGCTGCAGCATTAGGCAGGTGGTTTTAATGTTGTGGCACATCATTACATATCAAATGTCTGCAGTTTATTTATCACAATTACCAGTCTTATTATTGCCACGCAGGGATTTCTAACACTTTGCGTTAGACAAGAAGCCATCAGTGAAAGGCAATCATTCATGCACAGATCCTGTGCCATGATAATAGACTCGGCAAAATGATTTTACTACAGGGAGAGACCTCACTAAACCATCACATTAGTGAAATGTCAACAGAAAAAGGTGCATCCTGTCAGATTACTGTATCATTATACCTTGGATAGTAAAATAATAATGATAAAATGTCATCGCATACTTTAGGCTATATCATGTAAGCCGTCTAAGTACGAGAAGTGAGTGTCAACGCTGACGTTCCTCCAAAAAATTTGATTTTTTTCCCCCCTCTTTAAAGTCTACCTTATAATGAAGTCCCCTTCTGAATTTACTCACGTCATGACAGCGATCAGCAGCTTTTATTTACTGATAACAATAGCTGTACTATAACACTCCTGTAATGTATCTGGATGATGCTGTTGCTCTTCCAAGAACAAGTAGACTGGTGCAGAACTTCAAATATCACTGTTTTTTCTCAGCAGGGTTTTGTGTCGCTGTAACCAATGTTAGAAATTGCTACCTGTGCTTACCAAAGCGCTTCCGTGCTGCTTTGGCGATAGTTTTGGCAAACATGAAAGCAGCTGAGGGTTTACCACCTTGTTTGGTTTGTTGTGGGGAAGGTTTTGGGGGGATTTTGGTGTCATACAAAACACTAAAATACTGGCAAAAATCCATTCTCGGTTGAATTCATGTGAGCATTGCAGAGTAGTGGTTTGGTGACTTTAAAGAGACACCCGTTGCCTGATAGATATTTACTCAACGAGGGGACAAACATGAAGTCAGTGGGCCAAAATGTCAGGCCACTCCGCATGATGTCACATGTGGACAAGAGACTAGAAAACATCAGCCTCCAGTAAAACCTCTTTGTATGTTTGAAAGGTTTTATTAACGGTGGGCAGCTTTAATAAGTGTGCTTTAGTTTTTGAAGGCTGTGCCCTTTCATAGTATACAGGACTCACAAGCCCTTTACTGAGTCATCCAGTGATCTAATTGACTCTGGATTATTCTGCAGGAGGAGTCTGAGAATGTTCTATGGGAAACTCTATAGTTCTGTCACCACACAAATCTTTTGTTTCTGTCTAGATCGGCTGCCCACAGCCAACTACTAAGTCACCGAAGCCGTTCAACTGCACATAAAAAGGCATACAATTTCATTTCCAGTGCCCCACCAACTATACTGGCAATATTCTGCCCCGAGGTGAAGAAGAAAATGTCACTTGATCACTGTTTGTTGCTGGAATCGATGCCATTGACGCATCCATCTGATAAACGACAGGATGCCATGTATTCAACCGGAACTGCTGCTGCCCCCCCCAACATATGATCCACGGCAGAAATGTGGAGAAAAGAAGGTTTCAGTTTTCACATTAGCATTTTTGTCATTGCCCTCTAGCACGCTTTGCTGAAAGAAGAGCAGGAAGCTATTTCGTAATTCACTCCCGTGGTAAATCCACTTACAGGAAGCTAAGGTGAAAACACAACTGAAAATAGATGAGCCAGGAATGAGCTTTAAATCAAAGTCGCCAATTAAATACGAAAATGTTCCAACAGCTCTGTAATTTAAAAAAAAAAAGAAAAGTCCCATGAGTTGGAGAGGGAGGAAAACACAAACTATATAGTCATACCAGTCCTCATGATTACACTCACATCCTGCCCCACCCACATTGGAAAAAAAGAAAAAAAAAACCTGTGTGATGTTAAAAACACGTCCCATGTGGAATTAATAATAATGAAACCTTCCTTCTTTACACAATGCAAAATATGCAAAATTCACAGCTCTCCTGCTTTATACCCGCTATCTCCCTCAAGCCTTTCCCTCACTTAGCCCTCTCCATCTGCCATCTCTCTCTTCTCGCTGCTCCCACTCTTCATTCCGCTGCTTTGTTATGCTTCTCGCATTCGCTTCCTTCCCGTCGCCATCCTCTTAAACTTTATGTTGTTTTTCAAAGTATTTCTCTTCTCTTTTTTTCTCCTCCTCCCATTTCCTACCTCATCTATTTCCACTTGTCCTATGAAACCTTATTCTCATCCCTATATCCATCTTATTCCTCTGAGCCGCCCTCTCCTTTTTTTTTCTTTTCCGCTCTCTCTCTCTCTAACTCTCCCCCTCTGTATATCCCTGCAGTGTGAAAGCAGTACCTGCGACACTCTGCTCCCAGTATCCTCTCATCTAAATGGGATGTGTGGCCTTGCTATATCTGATTCCTCTAGACAGGAGGTGAGAGCTAACCTTTCTCCCACTTCGACACAACACCGGCTCCTGTTATTTGTTTTCATAACACAAATATGCCGTCCTTGGTCACAGCACACATCACAAAGCTTTAACATCCCAACTCGAGCAGACAAAACAAAATAAATTCTACGAGATGGAGCCCAGCCTTTAATGGTACTTAAACCACCGGGTGAAAAAGAAGAAAAAAAAGCACTTCTCCGGAGGTAAGATTCATATCGGATTAATGCACAAGTGAAAGATAAAGACAAGAGGGGTGAAAATACTGAGAATATCCCCAGATATCTGCCTGTGCTAATGAATACGATTAATGTTAAGCTGCTGGAGTATCCACTTTCCATGTGGATATGAAAGGGAAAAAATTACATTCTCAGACCACGAGTTATAACAAAGCCTATCAGACAAAAGAGGTTTTCTTTACCAGGCTAATGGATACTCTGCAGCTGGCTACTATAGTTAAACACCAGCCTGTCTGCCATGAAGTCCAAGAAAAAAGCTCTTATGAAACACTTATCTTGAGTTTCACAGATAACCTCACACAGTCGTACTCTCGCGTACATTTCCAAAAAGCCAAAAAGCGAACTCACGTGCTCGGAAGCGGTGGTGTGGGCGGGTGGCTGGGCCCTTGCCTGGGCGCCCGTGATTCCATCGTGACGTGGGTTTGACAGGGGCTGCCGGCTGGGAGGTGGTTGGCTGAGCCTTACCAGTGATCTTCACAGTAGCTGTAGTGGTGGTGGATGCCGTAGTGGTGGTAGAAGAAGTCTGTCCAGGCTTTGAGTTGGCAGCTCCATTACGTCCATTCCCAGAGCTGCCTCCTTTTCTAACAGTACTGCGAGGCGTGACCTCCTTACCGTTGGGAGGTGGGGTGAGTCGGGTGGCGCGAGTGGCAGAGGTGGTGACCACAGTCCCGCTAACGCGGGTGCCAACACGGTTATGAAGGTGTGGGGCACGGTTGCCATCTCCACTGGCAGTGCTGGCATTGGCTGAGTGGTTTGCTGGTGGCCCTGATCGAGTTCTTGGAGCTGGAGCGGTACCATCCGCAGCTAGCGGCGTGGTAGTCGACACCATCGCTGTCGTGGAGGCAGCTAAAGTAGTGGTGGCCGTGGAGATGTCAGGCCCCTTGGGCATGGCACTGGGTTTGGAGAGGAATATAGGGTCCTGTCCAATGCTACCTTTAGGATCCACCAGATCAGTGGGGACATAGTCTTGGACCGATCCCACCACAATCCATTTCAGCAGCATGAGACTGAGTCCCAGCCCTACAAAGCCCATGACCAGGGGCACGGCGCACAGCCAGGTCTGCTGGCGAGGCCACACGGCGCAGGGGCCACAGCGGAGAGGGCCCGGGGCTCGAGGAGAAGCCTGTTCAGCCCCTGGCTCCTCCAGCGTCATGGCCGCCAGAGTGCTTGCACCGGAGCGCTCACTCATCCTGCCGGAGCTTTGTCGTCTCTTAGGGGTGTTCGGGAGGTCAAACAGGTGGCCAGATGACACAAGGGCATATACGATGAAGGAGATGTGGTGCAGAGGAAATACTACGCATCTTAAGTAAATACCCACACAACGCCGAGGCCTATATACCTACATGCACGAACATAAAACATGAACCCGACGCACAGGCACCCACCAGCAGAGCAGACACAATACACTCACAGTCACGTACTACTAATTAAAAGCTGGCACAGCACTCCAATGCATACACAAGCAATATCACCTACACTCCCTCTGGCGGACAACAAACCAAACACACACACTCACACTCACACACACGCACACAAACACTCACTCACAGAAATGCACGAGAAAGAAGGAGGGAGGGAGGGAGGGGAGAGGGGGGGAGAGAGAGAAAAACGCGCACACGCTTCCACGCGAGCACACAGGTTATGGACAGGTGAGAGAGCGCGGCGAAGGGGGCGCCTCACTGTAGTTCAGCGCTAACGAAGCGATGATAAATCCCAGGATGCTTCACTCCCTTGTTAAAAAGCCGTCGCGAAAAGAACGGAGCAGGATATCGATCCGTTGCATGGCGAGCTTCAGACTGGAGCTGTAAATCCATGTGCGTGTGTGCGTGCGTAGACCAACAAACCGAGGCTGTGGCGGCACCCTTCTCCACTCTCAGCTGCTTGATTATCGGCCGCATAAGATCCTGGAAAAAAATTAAAAAATACACAGATTGTTCCTCTGTCAGTCTCAGGTTTCGTTGGAGTTCATGGTACCTTTCGGGCTTCCTTTTTTTGTGGGGGGTTGTTTTCTGGCCCCTCTCTTATCCACTTGCAGTGTCTTTATAGGGCTGCTTCAACTTTGCCTCCAGCAGACCTCAGGAAACGGCCACCCGCTCGCTCGCTCCAGCTGTCGGTAATCCAAGCCGGTAAAAGCCACCGAAACTGAAACGAGGCAGGGCAGGAGAGGGATGTGATCGGCCAATGAGATCGTGGTGGTGTTGTTTGTTTGTTTGTTGCTTGATGATGATGATGGGGGGCTAAATCCAACTGATCCAAAGGTTTCCAATCCCCCTCTTTGCGCTGACCACCCGGCTCTGATTTCTTCTAATTTTTTCTCTTTTTTAAATTTCTCCCCATCCGTGCGTCTCCGGAGCTGTCTGTCTTCTGCAGTCCGTCACTGTGACGATAGATCCCGGCGTGGATTTTTTTGGGTTTTTTTACGTTTACCTTCGCTGCATTCCCACAGTGGTGCAAGCAGCAGAAAAGGCAGACGGGAGAGAAGCGAGGATGGTGGGAGAGAGGATGATAGAGAGAGAGAGAGAAAGAGGGAGAGAGAGAGAGAGAGAGAGAGGGAGGAGGCTCTGGAAAAAAAAAAATGATGCAGCGGCTGTTCTTGGAGTCTGCAGACTGGGGAGGGAGAGACAGAGAGTGTGAGAGAGGAGAGGAGGGAGGGGAGGCTTGCTCAATCCGCGGTGAGTGATGTGGGTTTCACGGCTCCTATCCCATCCGGCGCTCTCTCCTCCGGTTCACCGCTGTCCTCAATTCTCCAAAGTGACGAATAGTGACTGCCCCATCTCCCCCTCTCTCTCTCTCTCTCGCTCTCTCTCTCTCTCCTTCTCCAACGCTCCACGGCTGTAGGTGTGCGCCTTATCAGCGAGCAAGTAAGGAGAAATTATGGTGGGCAGAAATAGAAGAAAAAAGAAAGAAGAAGGTGGTGGGAATAAAAGAAGAAACAAGAGAGAGAGGGAGAGAGCAGAGATGCGTGTTGGCTAAGCTCTGCAGCAGATGCAGATAGGGAGGCAAGAGGGAGGAGGAGGAGGAGGAGGAGGAGGCGGCGGCAGCAACAGCAGCAGCGCACGGCGCGCACACACAGCCTGCGCGCAAAAAGGAGGAAAGGCGCTTCCATAGACACACCCCAGGGAGCGGTGAGATCGAGGGTAGGAGGGAGGGGAGAGGAAAGAGAGGAGAGAGAGAGAGGAAAAAAAAGGATGGAGGGAGGCAGAGAGGCACCACCCCGATGTCTTCCACCGGCGGCACACGAGAGCAAACAAAACCAAACACCAGGCTCATAATTTATGAGCGAGTTAGAGCACTACTTCAACTTGATACTTCCGTGGGCAGTATATGAATCCCCCCCTTTTATTTTTGCAGTTCAGAAAGGGGACGGTGTCGCTTTAGGCACGCTGCCAGCCAGGTTTTTATGGGGCAGGGAGACGTGCTAATATCACAAATATGAGTGGGAAAACAGATTTGGCATTTGATGATGATTTAAAAAAAAATAATCAAGCAGGGAGAGGAGAGAGAAGATGAGCAGCAGTGACAAATTGGTGACAACAGGGGTTTGCTTATTAGTTTTTTAAATAATATTTTCCTTAACATTCTCTGTGTTCAATTGCTGTCTGGAGCAAGGAAAAAAAACGAAATTATAAATTGACTTTTTTTTTTTTTTTTTGCACATTTTGTCATCAACACAGCCACATCATGTATTATTCAAGCGTGACATCCCAATTTTCCTCAATTAATATCAGTTGTAATTTCATTAATCAGGGGGAGAGAAAAAAAATGAAATTGATGAAGGGTTAATCAGACATCGGGATGCCTCGAGATCAAGCAACTGTCTCCGATTTTCCCCAAAGTCAGCCTCTCATTATGTGCAGGAGAAGTTGACAAACACAGAGGTGCTACTTTTTGGTTTCTCCTGCATTGTGGCTTCCAGTTAAGTAGGGTTGTGGCATTATTCAAGGCTGCCATCTGCTTCTTTGGAACGTGATTGATTCTTTTTAAGCAATGAAAGCGAAGTAGTGGAGGAGTTCAAGAAAATCATTCATCATTGGAGAATGTGGGTGGATGCATACTGTAATAATGATCCTTGAAAATTGGTGTGTGCATTATGCAAGTGGGAGCTAAAGAGGGAGGTGAAATAAAGGGGTAAAGTAAAAGCAGGTGGGAGAATGAGGAAAATGTCTTTTTTTGTCCCCCCCCTCATCCGACTTACGTAAGCATCTGCAACGCTCGGTTCCGAGATCCAAAAAATCCTCCACAATGGTTCCTTACAAAATCCCAAACAACGTCATTCATTACAGTCTAAACTGCTTCTGGCTCATTGCAACAACAAAAATAAATTTAAAAAAGGCACATTTCAAACTCCTCACATTCCCCAAATGACACCAAAATTATGCCATTTTCAAATGCACTATTTTCACAATAACAATTTGCATTACCCTCAGGTTGGTTTCTCAATTGATTTTCATAAATAACAGGAAATGGCCGGCCCATTTGCAGCGATGGGACGTCTCCCTGCTCGCTCACATTTCTGCACATTTTTTTTTTTCATTAGCTGCTTTTTGCTAATGTGTATGATGAGTCTGACTGTATTGTTTACTGCTTTTGGAGTAGAGGTAATGTCCCGCTCTGAAGATGCCTTTGAACTTGACAGGCTGTCGACAGTCATTTCCTCCCAGGAATTTACTGTGCTCCTTTTACTCCTCTCAAGCATTTGAAGATTCTTAAGAAACAAAAATCTGAGGCTTTCCGGTAGAGAAATTTATTCAAATCATTGAAATATCGGTTTGAATTGTGTAACACTTAGGTTTTTGAAAAAAAAGAAAAGAAAAAAGAGAGGCAGTTGGTGGAAAGTTTCTATGAGATTTGATCTGAAAGATAAAAGCTTCTCAAATAAGGAGCTAAAAAGGCAAAGGAAGTTTTCATCATCAACATGTAGAGACATTTTAACTTACAGTTTCTGCCGTATTCATCAAGTTGCATGCATGTGTTAACTGTGCACCACATAGCGACATACTGCAGGCTTCTGCAAAACAAAATAAATGATCCTCAAACCAAACATCTGTACAATAAGGCCTAAAAATCAGTACTAATGTAGGCATTAAATAATGATTATCATCCGTCTGCTTCTGTGGATAAGGCAGCCACTAAGCCATGCACTCTATAATGTCTTGTTCTTCCAATACATTGGTGAGGGTCAAGGCCCCTTAGTACTACATCCTATGGCGCCGATGATGTCCCATATTCCTGAGTGAGGAGCAGGGAATTCACTTCTAGTGTCCAGAGGGAGCCATTAAGGTCAGTGGCCCTGATAAATGTGCATTGATGTCGCTTAAAGTTCATCTTGTTGCTATTCCACCCATCCTGGTTCAGGAGGGTCAACACGACAAGCAGATACCATTTTATCTGCTCCGTCCCCGTGGGTACGGAATAGTTATGTCTTAATGAACTGCTGGTCAGATGCAGGAGTGTCGAATTTAGAAGTTATTATCTCTGTTTAGCCCGGTGTGATTTCCACTCAAAGGCTTGAAGATGTGAATTTGGTTTTCAATAAGTAATGAGTGACCTCTGGCCCTTTGCAAACCCCCCGCGACGCCAATATCATCCTGGTTCTAAAAGAAAAAAAATTAAAATAAAAAAAAAAAAGGGCCGCTTCCTTACTTTGTGGGTGTAAATGATGGCAACTTCCATGACTGTATTGATTGCCGCCTTCTGCTTAATATTAAAAATCAATGTCTTTTCCCACTGCTTGTGTCTGCATTTGAGCCTCCCCGAGGAGCCACTATTCAACCACAGTGATCAGCACAACGCCACAACTCCACGGGATACGTCACCTTGTGCACATCTAGGGAGAGACACATCATTCCTGCTGTCACTCTGATTACGTGGTCTTTTTTTTCCAGCATGGCAAATGCCAAAGTTTGTGTTTGGCTTCTTGGAAACCGCCCAGATTTTTTCCTAGAAGAGGCACAATGCTGAAACGCTGTTGTACAACCGCCGTTCTTTAAATCAAATAAAACGGGGGAATAATTCTATAATGCTGTGTCTTTCTCCTTTTATAGATCCTACTGGATTCCTGCATATCTGTGGGGCCAGAATAAAGGCGAATGCAGCGTTTGACTGGCCCCAGTCCAGCTCTGTAAAATAGGATTAGTGCTTAATGGGGTTCACCGGTTTCTACCAGTGGTACACTGGGAAGCTTAGCGCTACTCCTGCTCCCATTAATGTACTTGGTAAGATCCCTATAGCTCCTCAGGCTATAAGAGTAATTAGTTGGTCCCACATTGCTGTGGATTTCCATTTCTGCAATTCCTCCGTCAGCCAAGAAAAATCCACGGTGGTCGCTGCGGATTGC